GTTCGTCTCCTTCTGTCTGTATGTCTGTCTGTTGGTCTGATACCTTCTGAATTTTTCTTTTGTCAATGTCTCGTGTTTCTGTCTTCTTCTTCTTCTTCTTCTTCTTCTTTTCTTCTTCTTTTTTCTTCTCTTCTTCTTCTTTCTTCTTCTTCGTCTTCTTTCTTTCTCTCTTCTTCTTTCCTCTTCTTTCTTCCTCCTCCTCTTTATTATCATTCCTCCTCCTCCTCTTCTCCTTCTTTTTCTTCCTCCTTCCTTCTTCTTCCTCTTTCTTTCTTCTTTGTATCTTCTTCTTGACCGAGGGCAGCGAAACAGGCCTGGGGAGAAAATCGAATGCAATTTCAAATTTACTCGTGGGAAAAGTTAGGCTGCGGAGGAAAGAGGATTTGTAATATATATATATAGCTAATACACACACACACACACGCACACACACACACACACACCACACACACCACACACACACACACACACACTGCACACACACACACACACACACCACACACCACACACACAACATAGTAAAAGTAAAAAACACAATTATAATTCATATGGTGGTAAAAAGTTGCGCTTTGGAGAAAAGAGAAATTGTAATAAATAAACTAATAATACATATATATAACAATGATAATGATAACAACAATAATATCAACTGATAATGATAAGAATAACAAAGAATGATGATAAAAACGAATAAATATTTCCAGTTTATTGGTGGGGAAAGGTTGCATGCGGAGGAAAAGAGAACAATGTGATATATATATACTAATAATACATATATATGCAATGATAATGATAGCAATGATAACAGCAAAATGATAATAATAATGAATAATGATAATAAACTGAACGTAATTTCCAGTTTATTCGTGGGAAAGGTTGCACTGAGGAATAAAGAGGACTTATATATACTGTAACATATATACTGTACATACTCGAGAGTTCACGGATGAGAACTGTGCCGTACTGTGTATTACATGACCGTAACGTAAGGATAACTACGGTTTGGTGGCGATGACGTGGACGAATGGGAGTTGTTCATCCGGATAAGAAGTTAGTGATGTTGTGGAAATAAAAGAAAATGATTTTTTTTTATGTTGACTGGTTTTGTGATATATGGGGCTGGGTAGGTGGAGAGATGAAGTGGAAGGGGTGGGTGGATGGGGGGATAGGTAAGAGATAGAATGGATAGGTTGATGGCTAGATAGATGGCTAGAGGGAAAGGGATTATTGGAGAGGGAGATGGAGAGGGAGAGGAGAGGGAGAGGGAGAGAGAAGAGAGAGAGAGAGAGAGAGAGAGAGAGAGAGAGAGAGAGAGAGAAGAGAGAGAGAGAGAGAGAAGAGAAGAGAGAGAGGAGAGAGAGAGAGGAGAGAGAGAGAGAGGGAGTGGGGGTGGGTTAGAGAGAAAGGGAAAGAGAGAGAGAGAGAGACAGATATAGACAGAGAGAGAGAGAGAGACATAGACATAAAAACAGAGATAGAAACTCTCTCTCCCCTCTCCTCTCTCTCCCTGCTCCTCTCCCTCCCCTCCGCTCTCCCTCTCTCCCTCTCCCCCCTCCTCTCCCTCTCCCTCTTCTCCCCTCCCTCTCCCTCTCCCTCTCCCCTCCCCTCTCCCCTCTCCCACACCCTCATTTCTCCCCTCCACTTTCCCTTGAAAAGCACACAGATTCAAAACACCCATTTTTAGACCACTAAACCGTAGATTTTTTTTTTTTTTTTTTTACGCTGCGGTCACGTCATACGCAAGGCAAAACACTCACACGTTTATCTCAAACACTATTACGTGATTGTGTGAAAAAAAATGTAAAAGAAATAAAGAAGGGAAGAAAGAAGAAAAAAAATTTCACGACCTGAATCATTTGTCTCATTTTATTTTTTTTTTTTTCATGACACGTAACCACTCCATCATTCCATATATTTTATTTTATTTTCCTTTTTTTCTTCTTTTCTTGTTTTTATTCTTTCTCTCGTGTTCTCGATATTAATGTTGGTTGATTCAAGTTTTTGTATTTTATTTCTTTCTTTCTTTCTCTCTCTTCTCTCTTTCTCTCCTTTCTTTCTTTCTCTCTCTCTCTCTCTCTCTCTCTCTCTCTCTCTCTCTCTCTCTCCTCTCTCTCTCTCTCTCTCTCTCTCTCTCTCTCTCTCTCTCTCTCTCTCTCTCTCTCTCCTCTTCCTTCTATCTCTATCTCTCTCTCTCCTCTCTCTCTCTCTCTCTCCTCTCTCTCTCTCTCTCTCTCTCTCTCTCTCTCTCTCTCTCTCTCCTCTCTCTCTCTCTCTCTCTCTCTCTCTCTCTCTCTCTCTCTTCTCTCTCTCTCTCTCTCTCTCTCTCTCTCTCTCTCTCTCTCTCTCTTCTCTCTCTCTCTCTCTCTCTTCTCTCTCTCTCTCTCTCTCTCTCTCTCTCTCTCTCTTTCTTCTTTTCCTTTTTACTCAATATGCGGGTGTAAATTTCTGTATTTTTTCTCCCTCCTCCTTTTTTCTTTACTCAGTATGTGGGTTCGGCTTTTTTTCTTTCTTTCTTTTTTTTCACTTCGTTATTATCGTAACGGTTTATGATAATTAGAAGGGCAGACAATAACCCATAATTATCATGCGGGCCTAATTAAGTTTCGTATTTCAGGTTATGTGATAAAAAAATCCTTTACTTATTTCCTTAATTATTTGCTTATTTGTTTATGTATATCTATTTCTTTATCTATTCATTTATTTACTTGTTTTCATTTATCTGTTAAGATGTCATTTCAAACTTTTTTTTATATCTTCGTTTGTCTGTTTATCTGTTCGTATGTTTATTTATGATCTTTTATCATAATCTTATTTGTTGATATCACTATCCTTATCATCATTATCATTTTCCTTATCCTAATTGTTGTTATTATTATCATTACTATTATCATCATCATTATTATTAGTAGTAGCATTGTCACTTTTGTTTTTAGCACTTACTTGTTGTTTATTATCTTATCTTTATCATTATCATTAACACCAGCACCATTATCATTGATGTTGGTAATAGTACTGTTGTTAGTTTTTTTCCCTTCTAATTGTTAATTATCATCATTGTCGTCATCTTTATTGGTAATATTATTATTGTCATTACTATCATCATAAACAGTGTTGTCAGTAGCATAATTCTGATTACCATTCTCATTATCAACATTGTTATCCTTATTATTGTCATCACCATTATCGCCATCGTCATTACCGTTACCATCGTTTTAATCATTATCTCCATCATCGTCATCGCCATCATCATCATCATCACCATCATCAATATCATCAGCATTACGATCATCATCATCATCATCATTCATCATTCATCACATCATCATTATTGCAGCTGATGTTTCCAGAGGTTTTCATATATATATATATATATATATATATATATATATATATATATATATATATATATATAATATATATATATATTATATATACATATTATATATATATATATATATATATATATATTATATATATATATATATTTTTTTTTACCTTATGAATCATCCGAAGTTGAAGCGATGACAAAGACTATAACGTATACAAATTTGAATGCATTAGAATAACCTTTTGATGATGTATATCAGTAAATTATAGCGATACTTTCTTTTCTTGTACAATATGCACTGATAAGGAACAATACTTTACATTACAATAATATGGAAAATCATGAAACATAATAAATTGAACGAAACAGGAAAATCGCCTTACATCCGTGACGTCACTAACCCCGATGACATCACTCACACCGATGACGTCATCCAAAACAAAGGGGAACCAGAGAACCAAGGAAAAGAGTCAAAAGTCAAAACAGACTCGCTCTGATAAGATCGTATGCACAAGGAAGCATTCACGAGGAAACGGAGAAAAGGAGAGGGGGAGGAAGGGGTGGGAAGAGAGGGAGAGGAAGGAGGAGGAGGGAGTAGAAGGGGGAAGGGGAAGGGGGGAAGAGGGAGAGAAAGGGAGAGGAAAGGGAAGGGGGAGAGGGAGAGGGCGGGGGAAGAAGGGGAAGGGTAGAGAGGGATAGGGAGAGGGAGGGGAAGGAGGAGAAGGGGGAGAGGGAGAGTGAGGGGAGGGAGGAGAAGGGGGAAGTGAGAGAAGGTGGGTGAGGAAGGGGAAGGGGGAAAGGGGGAAGAGGAAGGGGGAAGGAAAGGGAGAGGGAGGGAGAGGAAGGGGAAAAGAGGGGGAGGAAGGGGAAGGGGGGAAAGGGAGAGGAGGGGAGGAGGGGGAAGGGGGAGGGAGGGGAGAGGGGGAAGGGGGAGAGGGAGAGGAGGGGGAGGAAGGGAAAGGAGGAGAAGGAGAAGGAGGGGAGGAGAGGGAGGGGGGAGAGGGAAGAAGGGAAGGGAGAAAAGGGAGAGGGAGGGGGAGAGGAGGACGGGAGGGAGGAGGAAAGGAACGGGAGACCAAGACGGAGTGGGTAGGAAGAAAGGAAAAGCGAGAGAGTGAGGGAGAAGGGAAGGTGGGAGAAGGGGAGGGGTACGTAGGGAAGAGGAAGGGAGGAGTGAAAGAGGGAGTAGGGGGGGGCGGGAAGTGGGAGGTTGGGAGGAAGGAACGAGTTAGGGAGGGAAACAAAGGAAGGAAAGTTGACCTAGGAGAGGAAAAAAAGAGGAGGGGGAAGGAAGAGGAAGAGAGAGAAGGGAGGAAAGTTGGACGGATTTAGGAAGGAAAGAAGGAAGGGGGGAAGAAAGAGAGAAGAAGAAAGAAGGAAAGTGAGAGGAAAGGAAGGAAAAGGAATGAGAGAGAGGGAGAGAAACAAGAAATAGAAATCAAGAGGGAAAAAAAATAAATCATGAGCATTAACGAAGGAGACAAAGAAACAAAACAAATCAAAACCAAAACAGAGAACAGGACAGAGACCAGACAGAGCAACAGAGAGCAAATAAAAAGTAAAACAAAAATAAATAAATAGAAGTCACGTGATCTCTCCCATTCGGCCACCAGCTGTCGCTCCGCCGGCC